GGAGGACCTGCGTCTGGCAGGGCTGGACATCACGGACACATCTCTGCGTCTCATCATCCGTTACATGCCCTTGTTATCCAAGCTGGATCTCAGCTACTGCAACCACGTGACTGACCAGTCTGTCAACATCCTGACTGCTGCAGGGACGACCACCAGAGACTCGCTCACTGACATCAACCTGTCAGGTGCGAGCCTGTCTTTGTTGGCTGTAAATCTGCCTGCATCTGACTTGCTCCCTCTCATGGCTGAAACTTGAATTTATTAGATGCATTGAAGTATCATCTCTTTAGCTGAAGGATCAATACCGGTCCCCTTAAACACAAATAACATAACTTCACACTGCAACACAACATTTTCCAAAGTACATGCCTATTTTTTACTCTGCTTTCCACCTTCCACACACCAACCTGTGTCATTTCATGTCAAGCAAAGGTTGGAAAATCAACTTGGAGAGACTTAAACTTGTGACAGATACTCAATGTAGCACTGAATGTCACCTTTGTCACCTTTGGTAAAATGGTAAACCACAGTTAAATAGAAATCACCTACATTTTACGGTCCTGCAGTAAATCCTCTCTTCGTGAAGATTTTAATATTCAGTTTTTGTTGAAACTGTTTCAGAGAGGTTTCGATTCAACGTTATGATCATTTTTGGAAGCTGTAGTTTGTGGCGTTACTTATTGGGGTACTAAATTACATAAAAATTGATTTCAACATTTAGTGGAAAGTGCAAAATTGCTAAAACTAATCAGATTATATGCTTGTTGTCTCTCTGGGATGCCATTTATGGAAACAACTGGAAGACAAATGCAGCTTCGCTTCCTGTTGGGTGCAGCAGTCCCAAAATACTGCTCACCACAATGAGGCCTTTGGATTTCATGCCCTAGAATATCCTAAAGGGTCGATTAATCCATGTGTGTCATAGCTTTTTGTCAGTACAGGTGACCCATTACGCATCATTTGTTCCTTTTCTTCTAACCCAATTTCTCCTTGTGCAGTCTGTAACAGGGTCACAGACCAGTCGCTGACCTATTTCAAACGCTGCGGAAGCATATGTCACATCGACCTGCGATACTGCAAACAGGTGACCAAGGAAGGATGTGACCAGTTCATCGCAGAAATGTCAGTCAGCGTGCAGTTTGAACTGATAGAGGAGAAACTGCTGCAAAAGATCAGCTAGACAGAGGACCGTGGGAGACAGTTTTGACATTTTACAAGTGGTGAAGCTACTGTCCACATGGAGGCAGCAGATGACTGTGCGCTCGTGGAGAAACGGCACCGTGTCTCACAAACATCTGCAGACTACTGAACAGACACGAGGACGGCGTCTGTTGCTCTAAAGGCTGATGTAAAGGGAAGCTGTGCTGCCAAGCCAGAATGTAGAAATGGAAATCTTGTCCAGCGAAGGCAATATTGCAAAAACGTTTTTGTTGTTGTTTGCACCTGTTTATAAGTTATTTATTTCTTTGTATTGATTGTTTATGTATTGTATCATGTTTATCTTCTGGTGTTCACAGACTATTTTTTGTTCCAATGCAAAGTTTATTGCATTATAGAGTAATATTTTTGTATCAGAAAGTGTTTCATACATTTATGTGCAGTATTGATTGCACCAGTGTACAGTATCATACCATTGAAATTGATAATCAGTCGACATTACTGTTGAGCTCTTTATTGTTGAGAGGCAAAGGTCTAATGATTTGTTGCCAAACTGTAGGTTGGTAGTTTGTGTTTGTGTGGGTGTTTTTGTATTTTAATATATATGTCAGTGCCCTGTTTCTGATTGGACAAAGGTACCTGTACATTTTGTTTTTCATGAGACTACAGACAATGTTGCTCTGTCCTTGTGGATGAGATATGTAGAAGCAAAGTTTAAAGAGTTTATTTGCACTGATACAGTAAATATGAATACATGAATGTATTCACACATACACTCTACAGTGTACAGTGTATAAAGCCTATTTTTTCAACACTAAAATGTCCTGCGCATTCTACTAACAGCTTCTAGTTACTGGGTTATATTATATTAAGACATACCTGCATACAAAGGTGTCTGTCAGACATCACCCTTTAGTGTTGTTGGTGCTTTGTGAAAGGAAGCGTTTTAGCGCTGCATGCAGAAAAGAAATCTGTTTACAACACAGTCAGTAGAGTTAGTAACTGTTAAATATTATAACCATCTGTTTACTCCTGTCCTTAGCTGAACTCCATGCGATTAAAAAAATGAGAGTCAGTGCTGAATCATGCCAGAAATAAAGAATCGACAAAGCCCAGGAAATGGAAATAACATTTGCACAAATCTTTCAGTTGAGAACAGACAACAGGCCAAAAGATAAATGGAAAAGGACTTTTTCAACTTTGTTCCACTATGACTATGACTTTTTATATTGTATAACCCAAAATTCTCATGACCCCAGAAATTTCAGTATAGCACAGTTAAGGGAATACCTTTATCTTTTATTTAAAACATGTCAAGCCAATATTGGTGTATCAGTCTAGTAAGTCCATGTCAATCTCCAGACATGGGGTCCTGCCCACAAGGTTGACAAATTGTGTTTTAGGGCCAAATATAGTAAATACAGAATGAGATGAGAGGTTCACAGGCACTATATGTCCATACACCCCATACTGCAAGACATCTTTCCCGAAAGATTTGTGAAAATGTAAAAGTAAAAACGGATTTTGTTTATTCTTTATTCTTAGTCACAGATTCTGCTGAAACCAGGGTTGTTTTCTTTAAAATTGTTTCTTAAAAGGTTTATTTTTTATGACTTTTGTTTTAAAAGTATTGGTCTCACTGTGCGCCTGTATTCATCATCATAATATTTAAAGTGATAAAGAAATCACAAATTTTGCTATTGGAACTTGTCTAATAAAATTTCAGGCTCTACGGTGTAACGATTCAGTAGATTTGCATTTTTCTTGATCTTAAAACTAAACTTTTTTAAAATAAAGTCTTTCAAAGTTTTTTGTGTACCTTTTGAATAGCAGTTGATACAGTTCAGTGGATGGGTTTACATTTTAATTGTATTTGTTTGTTTTTTATTAGACAACCATGTCTCCATAACATATTTTAGTACATTACTGTAAATGTTCTGTGTACATACTGTACATGTAAAGCCTCTAGGAAAAGTTAAGTCAACCTTTGAGATATTAAAATTCATTTTAAATACTGAACCGTGTGTGTGGTTTCCGTCCTTTGGCTTTTAGCCCTGCTTTGATTTTGGCGACCCCCCTTCGTTACCATGGTAACAGCAAGTGTGATTCAATACTCCAGCCAACACTGTATGAGCAGCAGCTTTGTCAGAAATACAACAGAACTGATGTATCTGTTTACAGTGAAACCAAACAAACACGTGCTGCAGATAGATGCCCAAGTAAGCAATCTGAAAACTTACACTTACAGAACATAAAGACCTTTGAATGGCTAATGCAGAGAAGGTGCCCTCCATTGATGGAATTAAAAGATGGGGCTTGATTACCATGATGATCTTCAGGATTCTAACTTTCAGCTTTTGGATAAATAAAGAACATGATTTATGGTCATACTGGAATATTGCCGTCAGTAGTCAGTAATTTGGCAAGTGAAAATTTACAACATGCCAGCCTCTGTGTTGGCTAAAAGCGAACATCATCAAACTAAATGTACGAGCGATTACAAAATGAAGAGCAGGGTTTTACGTTCTGGTTTGTAGTACTGCATTTTATTGAATCTAATAAATCATTTTTCTCTTGTTTACCAAAATAAAAAGGTTCAACATTCCAAAATATAAAGATCCAGGATTATGAGTGCTCATGATACCCCCTCCTACTCTGATAATACTGTAGCTGCCCATGAATGACATCTTTGAGAAACAGCAGCATCAACAAACAGACTTACAGAGTTACAGTGTTTGTTACAGTGCATGGTGTCAGTGTCAGGTTTAGATCTGAAGCAGACGACAACGAAAAGTGCTAGAAAGCGAGACCAGGACGCAGCTTTAATGGTGAGAGACTGACGCGATCAGAGGACCGAGGAAACTCTTCTGACCAAAACCAGCAGAAATACATTCTGAAAAACATTATATTTTTATTTTTAAACCCTTTGTATTGATTAGAATTTTAAATCATGTCATCTCCCAAGTACATGGAAAAATATACATTTAATAACTTATCAGTAAACAACAATATAAACTATCTATGCGATTCACTTAAACAGCAATTCAGCTTTTTTTTTTTTCCTTTTTTCTTTTTTTAAACATACCACAGGCATACTGTACACATAGATATTTTAGTGACATCTGAGTTAACTGGATCTCATGACAAGAAAACAAAGTGTTTCATTTGCATAACAGGTTAAAGTAAACCAGGCTTCTTTTACCTCTCACTGGATGTCTGGAAGGACGCCTCGACAACATGATAAAAAGGTTGATGTTGAAGTTACACTCAGAAAAGAGGAAGTAGCACCTGTTACCTACCCTAAGATTCGACATTAACGGACAACACAATCGAACAAAGACACTTGGTAGACTTGTAAATTATATGGTATTGCTTGGTGGAAGTTATTTTAAAATTAAAGAGGAATAAGGAGCTAAAAATAGTATCTTAACTCAAGGTGCCACTTAATAGCTTTATCTTTCAGCTGCATCTCATGGTCTTCCCCTGGGGGCCACCTTGGGTCACGCTGAACCATCGCTGAGGAAGCTATCCGCTGATGAAGACCGTGAAATGTGGGTTAAAGCCAGGAAAAAGTTAGTAAATGGGCCTTGAGTTTGGATGTCCCTTTTTTTTGTCTTACTGCTGCTTCAAAAGGTCCAGAATGAACTTTCACGCTCAGTACGTGTAACAGGAATGTAGTGCGGCAGGTGACGTGTCGTCAGCAGAAACCACATCTGTGCGCTTCGTTTTAGATGAGGAAACACATTCACACAGTGAGTGTTCAAAGGTTTACATGTACACACTTTTATTTCCTAAAGTTTCATTTGAGAAAACAGGAAAAAAAAAAAAAAAAAGGAGTAAACTATCACACCAAGCTTGCTGGTTATGAGATGCATATACTGTGAAGTCCTAACCCAAATATCAATCAATCAATCAATCAAAGGCATGACGTTTGGCACCTTACACCCTCCTGCGTGTGAGACGAGACGACTTGGTGCATGTGGTGTTCGGATTAAAGAATTGACATTTTCTAGAAACGTGTAAGTCTCTTTTTTTTCTGATATTGCACATCCTAAAGAACACTGAGGGAGATAACACGGTGTCATGTGGCATGACTGTGTAAACCATATTGACTCTAACCCTGGGATCTTATATATTTTTTTTTTCTTTTTTTCATCACACTGTTTCCCTTCAGCACACAGAAAAAACCCGATCCACTTCAAGTATCCACGCGACCTCCTCCTCTCCTCTCCTGTGAGTAAAATCTAAACAGAGAATGGAGAGTAGAAAGTGATGGCAGCGGGGTTCTGCTGTGTGTTTAACAGAGCTAAGAGAGAAAGAGTGAGTGTCCCGGTGCAGCTGAAGATGGCCCACCAGGGAGGAGAAGTGGGACTGGAACATGAGTTAGTAAGAGGGGATCGGGGGCTGGGGGGGACAAACCGTGGTAGGCCAGAGGCAACAGTTTGGTTTCAAAGACCGGGAAGTTGCTCGCGCCTGCTGCAGCATTAGGCCCTGTGAGACGTCATGCACGGCAGTTCATCCTCAGTGAGAGATTCAGGGCTCGGGCCACGTGCACGCCTGAGGGCTGCTCTGACGCGCACACGCTCGGAGTTTTAAGACTTGAAGACGTGCACGGCCCGCACTACGTACTGCCTGCAGATGGGGCACTCGCTCATCCTCTTTCCGCATTTGGTGCAGGTTACCATGTGACCACATTCCAGCAGCACACAGTCGATGATGGCATCCATGCAGATGCGACACAAGTTTTCGTCAGCCGCCAGCTGAGCTTTGACACCATCTGTGGATGGGAATATGAAGTTATGTTCCATTAACAAAGCTTCTCTATAAGGCTCATTAACAAACAGAATGGAGTTCAGTGATGTGATGGGAACTTAAGCTCCTACGCCTGGAGTAACCACATCATTCACCTGTGCTTGGTAATGAGCAGCCCATTCACTCCTCTAAATCTCTGCTCTCCAGTAGGTTATAGCAGTCTTTAAATGTCCAAATCTGTTCGCTTTTATTTGGTTTTCTACTAAAGGTATTCATCAGAAAAAGAAAATATGAGGTAGGAGTGTGTCATCGTAATGTACGCCATCAAACAAGTAATTTCAACCTGCCATCTATCAGTAACAACAGCCTTAAATTGAACCTCATCTTCTTAGCAAACGTGGAGAAGAAGTCCTTTTAGTGCTCCGAAAAAAAATGGAAAATTGAACAACTGTGAGAGGAAAACTGTTGATGAAGATCATGTGATATGGTTGAAAGCTACACACATCTACTTGGTGGACATGCTCATGAGAATGTTTTATCAACGGCATTAAATTAGCTTGTTACAAACTAACTGCTCTTATAACTTGCGGTCGCTGACACCAAGGCCAACATGAGCATGTGAACCTTACCTTCTAGATTTAACATTTACAATAATAGAGACTGTTGCTTTTATTTCAAGATGACGTGAACAAAAAAAAAGTCAGAGAAAATAGGCACAAAAAAAAAAAAAAAAAAAAAAAAAAAAATGTTCTCATGTGCCACAAATCAATCATCACTCTGGTTTCTGAGAGTTAAACGTTTGACAGCTGACTGATCAGCTCACTGGCCTAAATCTGGCTCCTGCTGCTCACATCTTTAAAAAGCCGATGTCTGCTGTCCCTACATGTCTGACTAATTGTGGGCTAAGTGGACTAATATGATCCTCAAGCCCTTCAATATCAACAAGAGAGCCTCTGGGAAGCTTGACAGTGTAATTACACCTGATGGAGGCATGCTGCCGCTGAAGTAACATGATGACTCATCAAAAGGAAAAAGCTCTTAGGAGAGCGCGTTAATGACAGAATGAGAGGCTGTCCTCCACAATAAAATGAGATGATGAACACTGGAAACGAAGCACGGGTGACAGGACGTGGAGACACCGAATAAGACAGGAGCTAATGACTTGAGTGACCATAATGTGATAATATACAGGGTGATATAAAAGGGTCAAGTGGGTAAAAATGGCTGCAGCATGCCTTCACTGTTTACTGCTGTGGGATGATCAGTGCGATGTACAATATTGGTTCATGGAGGAGATGCAGAGGGTGCTGTAAAGTGGCTTTTTATAAAAAACATCTTACCTCCAACACCACTGTTGCAGAGAGGTGGAGGATATGCAACCACTTTATAGATAAGAATGGGCAGTAATGAAGAGAGTCTATTAGTTTAGGAACAGTGAATAAGCCCTTTAATATAAAACAATGTTGAAGCAGGAATTAAAACAGATTTATTCTATTTATTCCATGAATGGGAGCTAATTGTATAAGTAAAAGCATTAAAAAGGCAATGTTATATATCACAACTACAAATATGATAATCAAAAGCAGAATTACCTGCAGTTATGCTCACATTTTCCACTACAAAAAAAAAAAAAAAACAAGGAAAAAAAGTTATTCTTATACAAGAACAGCAGAAGTCACAACACTTTATACAATTTAGATGCAAAAATGAAAAAAAGTAAAATGGAAAGTGCTTACTGGATTTCCTGTTCTGCTCATTTTCTCTGTAGAGTCGATGCACTCGCTCCAGCAGCTCCCACTTCTCGCAGCAGCCGGAGTAATTGACAAAGTTCCTGGCGAGAATCTCTTTGAGCTGGCGGACGGAGAGGTTTTCTATCGCTTCTTCATTGTCTAGATCAGACAGCGAGGCCCTGATCCTCCTCTGTGTCGCCGGACTGACCTACAATTCACACGGGAAACAGAGCGGCGGTCACTAAATGAGCAGCAGGGACTGCACTCTCTTTCACTTCTGGTATAGAGACCGGCTGGTCGGGTCAGTAGATGTGTAAATACACACCTCCATGATATTTTCAGTGGGCTCCAGGTTCAAGAGGGACGCTGTTGGAGTATCCTCATGCTCCTGTGTGGGTGGAAATCAACATACTGAAGTCAATTTAAGTCCGTTTAAACTCCCATAACAGCCTTTCCCTCACTGCACAGCCTGTTAAAACACTGTAAATCAAATGATGTGTAAAAAATGACCAAGATACCTAATTCCAGATTTGAAGCTGCTGAACTGGAAAGAAATATACTTAATGTCTTTGTCTCATAAGGATGATCACTTCCTTTTCATCAAGGAAAAAAAAAAAAAAAGCAAATTAAAGTACACCCTGGTCCCCGGTCCTTCTCTTACAACATGCCTGATTATAATTTAGAATTTCTTCTAGCTCTGTTATGACTATCAATGCCATGATAAATAAAAGACTTCAGAGTTATCTGGGATCTAATGTTTAAATTGCAACTGCTCAGATGTCCAATGAACAAATGGAGATGTTTAAACACGGACTCAGCTGCTCTTATCTCAGCAGTTAATTATTCTCTTTGAAGGTGGAGGTCAGGAATGTGCTGGATGAAAGGAGAATAAATGGAGCTATAGAATAGTTCTGTAGTATCTCTGTAGTATCTCAGCCATTTCTGAGCTTTGAAAAGAAAATAGTCTCTTTATTCTTTTATCTTCTTGACAAAAGAGAGCTTGTGAAGATATCATGCTTGAATGCAGAGTCTCTGTTTCTGTACCATAAAAAGTATATATATATATTTTTTTTTAAAAAACAGTTCCTCCTGCCATCTGTTTCTGTCTCCCTCTGCTTCAGCACATTCACGCAGATTATCAGCGTCCTCGAATGAAGATGTGTTAATAATGTATCCGTAAGCGTTGTGGTGCTAGATGCCTGCCCTCGCCCAGACATCATGCTTTCACTCTGACTAGACTCCTCAGAGACAAAAACATGAGCAGCAGCCTTGACTCAAGCAAAGTGCCAAACCTCTGCGGAACAAAGTTTTTTGACTTGATGTTCGAGCCGCTTCAAACATATGAAAGTACTAGAAAGCACTCAGAGAGTGCATACTCGTGTCAAGGCTGCTAAATTTGTTGCTTTAATAATAGAACTTATTCAAAAAAAAGTTTCATCTGCGTCAAAATATACATGGGGATTGACAATGAAAATTGGTTACATGAGCCAGATTTCTTTCCTGTACTGCAGTAGTTATTGAGAAAATACTAAAAATGCTATAGAGGAAAGAATCTACACCGACATCTAATCACTTGTTCACTGGTCCACAACCGGTCTGATGCCAAATATCACTAAAATCTGAGGCCACATACCAAAACCTCTTTAATAGAGTCTTTATATCTTTAATATTCATCCCTTTAGTGGAGTTATAAATGTTCTTCATGTTTTAACTGTAGAGAAATCACATTATAGTGACGAACATTTAGCAAGCTAGATTTCCATTATTTTCAAATGATTTAAATGTTACATTTTTTCTTATTCCATTATCTTGTCAATCACCATTTGCAATAGACTATTAAACCTGTTTCAAGGCAACTGATCCAGTTAGATTATTTATTTATTTAATCTGAATGGCGGAGTACATGGTTGCCACCAATATCCCAACATCTAAATCAGAGAAAACTCAAAGGAATTGGTTCATTTTACGAAACTATGTCCAACAAAAACCACATTGCAGATGTTTCTGTTGTTGAACCTGTTAAGAGTCTCTTCTGCAGAAGCTACATATCACAGTAGGCAGGATGATCTTGTATCCTATACTTACATTGCAGATTTGAAATCTATTTGGATTTCCAGACTGTGTTCCTTATTTGGGTTTATTTTTATGTTTCAATAAATATTATCAAGTAGTTTTTTTTTGATACAAATGAACTGAGATACACAATTTCCTTCTTCTTGTTTTTTGCAGTCTACATACGCACATTTGCGTTTGGTTGATAGAATAAATAACCCCGGAGAATCTTAAAGCCTAGATGTGCCACAAACTAAGAGGAGGAAAAAAAATAAATCATACAGAGAGATTATCTACAGGGGCATGAGAGGAGGGATGTGCTGTAGTGTTTCTGTTGTTTAGTTGCAGCTGTGACGCTGTGGGGAGTTCTCAACCTGTGTGGCTGTTACATAACAGACTCAGCCCATGTAACAGACCTAAAAAAGGCAAAGGGCTTAAGCTGTGTTGCTGGCTGGTCTGAGAGCTCACACATATACACACAGACAGAGCTACACACACACAGCTACACACACACACACATACATACACACACACATACACACACACACAGCTACACACAGAACTACACAAACACACACAGAGCTACACACACAGCTACACACACAGCTACACACACACACACAACAGAGCTACCACACACAGCTACACACACACACACACAGAGACACACACAGACCTACACAAACACACACAGAGCTACACACACAGAGCTACACACACAGAGCTACACACACACACAGAGCTACACACACACACACACAGCTACACACACACAGCTACACACACACACACACACACACACACACAGCTAACACAGCTGTTTCCAGCTGTCACGTGGACATGAGACCAGCCAGTAATGCAGAGCATTCTTCAATGTCAGAGGAGGGAAAACAAATCTACAAATGTAGTAGATTTTCAAGGAGAAACACTCCATTCAGAACAAAGCACCATGAGACCAAAACATAAAAAAAATCCACACGGACGGAAAAAAGGAAGAATAAAGCATGAGATGAAATGAATGAAATAAACTGACTGACATCTAAAGAAATGCACGAGAGGGCGTTTGTTTGTCAGGGAGTTGAAAGGAAGAGGCCTTCTCCTGACTTAAAACAGTCAGACTGAAACTTGTAAATAAGTTGATTTCACCTTTGAAATTAATTATCTTGGATAGAATGAGGACAGATGTGAAAGAAGTATGGCATATGGAAATTAGTGAATGAGTGAGTGCATGCTTGTGTGCGTGTGGCTGAGCAGTGCACAGTGTTAGCTCTGCGTGCAGACACACACTAAACATCAGCTGTGTGTTTCCACACATGCACACGCCATCAGACCTGGCTGGTGGTCCCTGAGCTGTCACTTGGGCTGAGCACGTCTCCCTGAGAGGCGGAGAGGACCGACTGTTCAGAGGTGGAGCGCGTGGCGGAGGGGGGCGAGGCGGCACGGGAGTGGGGGAGGGAGTGCAGACTGTCTGTGTCATCTCCCCCTTCATCTTCCTCTTCCTCTTCCTCCTCCTCCTCCTCCTCCTCTTCCTCCTCCTCCTCCTCCTTACTTTTCTTGTGAGATGACAGATCTTCCTCCTCGTCCTCTTCCACCACCGCTCTCTGGGTCTCCCTCGCCCCCTGATGACAGAGCACCAGGTCCACCAGGTCCTCTTTTTCCCTGCATGTGTCGGTGGGGATGTTGCGCAGCAGCAGGTACTGGCGCAGGTCTTTCACTCGGAGCTGCATGAGCCGAGGCCGCTGGAAGGCCGTGCCGCGCAGCAGGTGGCAGGTTGTGCAGCAGCGCAGGTTCTCCTGCAGCACCGAGCACAGGGCGCAGAAACTCTTCTTACAATCACAGCAGATGTGCTGTGGAGGGAGGAGAGGAAGAAGAACGTGATGTGATCAGCGATTCCTTTTCTTCTCAGTGAAGCAACCAAACATCTTTAAAGCAATTTCCTCTTCAACACCATCATCATTTAAGAAACTGTGTTTTCCATTATTTCTCAGTAGGCCCTGATCCGTTAGCATATTAAACTATTTAGCCTCCATGTCACTTTTGATGAATGAATTAACCATGTACTGATGGGTTTAACTGATTTGATCTCTAGAAAATAGGTCATTTGATGGAGCTGAGCACGCGGCAGCTGCTGCTAACATTGTTTTAATTTGCACCAGAATAATTCATCAGCCCAAGGTTTTACTTGCAAGATATTGTTGATAAGGACTGAGTGATAAACCAGTATTATCATTTATTAACTTTCAGTGGAATTGTTGCAGAATATTTTATTTTGTTATCATTTCACTAAATGACTTTGTCTGAACGAATCATTCTGAGCAAACTGTAATTAAAACTGAACTAAATGAGTTACTGAGGCTTTTGTTTTACATGTAACTGATTGGTGGAAAATGGACCAACGATATTTGAAGTAGTTTATGAAGCCAAACAAATGTCAAACATCTGCATGTTCCACCTTGTCAAACGAGTGAGGATTTGCTGCTTTTCTATCATTGTAAACTTCATATTTTGGGGTTTTGCACTTTTGTTTGAACAAAAACATTTTGAGGACCTTGGGAAATGTAAAAAAATAAAAAAGACACCAGAGAGACCATAAAGCAGCAACACAAATCCATCAAAATGACTCATCCTGTGTGCTCTATTTCTAGCAAAGAGTAAAGAAAAGAGAAATAAACTGTCTATAGCTGCTGGTGATGTTTGACATTTTACAGGCTTAACACTGTCTCCTGATACAGAGCAGCTGAGTAGATTGACACTTCAAATGGGCAGGAAAACAGGTCGGCCACGGCTGTAAACATTTTCTTATCACTACTGCACATATATACTCTGGTCCAGCAGAAGCACATTTCCACCACAACAGATACTTTTCTTCAATCGTTTGCTGTTAATCCCCCGGCGCGTCTTTTTTCATACTATGAAAATATCACGCTCAGACACAAAATGTGTGTAACCAGGGAGTCGACCCGCCGTCAGAAAGGCAACTGGTGTGTGGATGATGATAGAGCGATCTGAAGCCAGGCACTGCAGCACTCAGATACACTCTGTCATTAAACCCTGACACACGCAGCTGTGCAGAGACCCTCGGAAACACCAGCATGAATACATACTGTATGGTGCATGTTCTTAAAGGACCAGACTGTGTCTTATTCACATTGCTAACTTTTGAGTTTTTAAGTCAATTTATAACTTCAAGCAGTGGTGGATTGAGTCGTCACATACTTGAACGAAATTAACAATACAACACTGTAAAAACTCTCCATGACATGTTTGCCCTTATTTAAAATCCCTTGAATTAAAAATGTGAAAGCAGCATTTTACTGTTTATTTAGTTTAGTTCACTGGTTCCCAAGCCAGCATTCGGGCCCCTCCAAAGAGTCACAAGATGAATCTGAGGGGTCATAAGTTCTCCAACACAAACCTATATATTATTATAGAGTTTCTTTTTTTTTACTTTTCTTGTGAGATGACAGATACTTTTGCCTCTTTGTGCATGACGCAGTTATTTAAATGAAACCAAAAAAAAAATCACTCCATGGTGAAACTGACAACTAACAGACAACTGAATGGTAACAGTAATTTATATAAAGAGTCATTAATATGAAATCTTTATCTGAAAAGGCATTCACTATAGTAGACATTAAAGTGTATTGGGGTAAAAAGTACAATATTGATTGCATTAATCAGAAACAATCGAGTAAAGTACAAGTACCTAATATTGCACAATAGTTGACTAAATGTACTTAGCTCCTTTCTACCACAATGACTTCAAGACAGACATAGTTGCAGAGACTTTAAACTTTCCCAGTGAAGAACTTGCTTTATATTTACTACATTATACATACGTGCTGTGCTGTACATGATCATCCTGTACCTGTTTGTGACTGTATTCTTAGTACAGCCTGAGCTTTGCTTGCTGACTGTTCTATTAATGGCTCTGTTAACTCTTAAAGAGGGCGTTGCTGTAAAGCAGCATGGATGCTCAGCCAACCTGTTCTGTATAAATAAACAGCAGATAAATAAATATGTATTGTGAGAGTGAGATTTCAGTGTTTTGACCTCCCCCACAAAAAAATAAAAGGGAAAGTCATGAGTTACATCTCGCCAAATGTGAAAAGGATCATGTTTGGTCTAATATGAGTTATATGTATAACATGGATTTGGTTCACACCGAAAGGCGAGAAACATCATTCTCACGTGAACCAAATCCATGTTATTTCACATGTTTTTACATTAAAAAGGTCTGTCCAGCAAGTGACTCAGTAATTATGGATGTCAGTGTTTCCCTGAATGCACCATGAATGAGGAGTCCCTCTAACAACTGCACGCAATGATTACATAATTCTGTCACAAAAATGAAAAAAAAAAAAGAAAGAAAACGCTGACTAAATGTGGAATGTGAAGGATTACTCAAGCAAGTCCCCAGCCCAGTCTCTGACAGCTGATTTTTATATAGTACTGACACTGAAGGGGGGGGGGGGGACCAGGCAGCTTTAGAAAATGATCAGTGAATACTTTTATTTAACAGACAAGAACATGCAAAACCCACTGGTATGGTCTTTTGACATCATACTGTAGGAAACAGTTTCTACTGGGCTGCTCTCTGAAAGCATGTGGACTCTTGTTTACCTTGCGCCTGAAGACAGAGAAGGCCAGTCCGCAGGCCTTGCACAGCTGTCCAGCGCTCCCTGAGCTGGTGGGGGGGTAGGTGGAGTACCCAGCGCTGGGGGCGAAGCGGAAGGGCCCCGCCCCTGCTCCAAACCCCGGCTGCTGCGCCCGCACCGTGCCCGTGCCCATCACCTCGTTCAGCAGCCCACAGCATGACGCCCACATGGACGATGCCCCTGCCTACGGAGCACACACACACACGCACGCAAGCACACACACACACACACACACACACACACACACACACACACACACACACAAAAAACTTTCATCTTTCACAGACTTTTAAAAGGGCTTATTAATTTATACCTCTGGCATCATCAGTGACAGACATGTTACATTTCCTCCCTTTTTTATCCCTTTCACAGCTTTAAGGTTGGGAAAATCATCTTAATCCCCCCTCTCTGACAGCATCATATGTATTCTGCATCAGCTTGTTCCAGCTCTTCATTGAAACTAAATTATGTTTCTACTTAGTGAAATATTCAAACCCTGGGCTAGATATTTTTTTTTTTTATTGCTGCACCGTTCCATCAAATGGAAATCATCTGTATGTCTTGTGAATCGTTTTATTCAAATTTCAGGGCGACATCTTTGACTTGTTTGTAGACTTTAGGATCTCCACTAGAATTTAAAATAACTTTCAGAGGATCTGAACAAAGTTTGTATATGCAAGTAATATGAAAAATATTTTCATCATTTATACATCGTCTAGTGAATAATAAACTATGATTAAATTTGTTATCCTGCTACATTGCAATGCACTAATCCAATAATCACCTATTAATTTCCCTGTGTACAAAAAACAACTATTATCATGTCAACCATAAACCTTTAAGATCATTAAATGATGTTTTATTCCTACCTTTTCTACAAAGAGCACTGTCTTTTACTGTATTATCTCTGATTGAAGATCACCTCTAGTGTCCTTTTAGGAGAATCATCTGTAAATAAAAACAGCTAAATGAGTTTTTTCAGTCGTGTCTGCAGAGTTCCTCACCAGCTGCAAACAGCCCCAACAACCTCCACCATGAAGGGGAGGGCAGCTTGTTAACTGCCTGAGAGGCAAAATCCAGGGCCAAAAAAGTCAAAGGTTAAATGATCCACTACTGGTTGCAAACCTTGAACACTGCGAGTGCATGGTGATAACTGAAGGCGACTCAGATGAACATATTTTAACTCAGAGCTTTCCCTGTCTGGGTTTTGGCAGTTGGACGTTTAGAGGACACGGTGTGATCGACTTTTAGTGAAGGAATCAAACTGAAACTGTGAAAGTGAGGGGGACGTGCCCGACAGTGGACACGACGTCCCTTGCAGGGTACTGTCTAATACCCGTTCACCTGGACTGAGATCTGGAGACTGTGAGGACTGTCGCAAATGATTCGTATCATTTTCATACTCAAACAATTCGCCATCACTGTGTGAATTTCCCTTTCATTGCTCACCTTTCTGTATATCAACAAACTATTAGAAAATATTCTTATTACTGTCATGAAGCTGATTTGAACCACACTGTATCACCCAGCCCTGTGCTCTACAATCATCATCATACATAATACCCAAAATGGCTTGAGGAGATAGTCTCTCTTGCTACAGGGTTAAGAGAGAATAACGAGAATGAATGAGAAAGAGAGAGGAGGGGGAGAGACACTGAGCAGCACATTATTGAGAGTGCTCTTTAAGAGTCTTTGAGGTTAGAGATAATTAGACTGAAGTAGACTCTAAGAGCTCCTATTAATGATGTTCTCCAAAGAGATCCGCGGGTTAAATTTCACAGTCACTGCATTATTTTATACAATCTGATAAACAAATGTGGTAAGTAGAAGCAGAGGATGTGTGAGGAGTCTGACCCGCACGAAAAATATTCCTGTGAGTCAAAAGGGAAGATGTGGACGTTATGTTGCCTCTCTGTGTCTCTATGCAAACTAGCTTTGAGTTGGTGTACTCGGCCCGTAAAAAAGTTGAGGACTGCGAGAGGCCACGCGGTTAAGAATCAGTCAGATGTGTTTGCTGACCACAAGACTGGGCAGAGACAGGGAGCAAAGATGGCGTGATGGGAGCCACGGCTCCTTGGAGCATACTGATGAGAGGAGGAGGGAGGGGGAGGAGAGCGAGGAGAGAATATGTCTTCTGTTGTTCCCCGGCCTCCAGAATCAATAGCTGACATGAGCATAATGTAAGCCCTCTGTGGTTCTCGGCTCTATGCGGGAAAACAATGGAATTCACAGGGTCCTGCCACATCTCTTCTTAAGGCAGCGCTCTGCTCCGACTTGTCACAAACACCCTGTGATCTGACCTCACCCATCTGCTTAGGGATTCGTTATGTAATCTCAGGAACGAGGCACTACTATATGTGGAGTCACGGCGAGCAGGAGGAGGAAGGTCTGCCCCCGCTGCAGTCAGTTCAAATCTTTAACTATTTCCTTCATTTCATTGGTTTTTTTTTTTTTTCCTCTTCAACTATATCACCAAACTAAAATTGTGATGATGTGTTTTATCCTTTGGTCTACAAAATGTAACAAATAAAGAAAAGAGTTCATCACCGTTACCCACAACCCAAGGTGACATCTCTAAAAACCTTGTTTTATCTGAGTAAAAGGGCAAAACTTAAAAATATTCAAGTTACAGTGACAGAAAACAGAAAATCAGCAAAAAGCCTCAAATTTAAGGAGTTGGAAACAGCAAAAGTTTAAATCAAATTGATTATCAAACCTGCCATCAATTAATATTCTGTCAATCCACTGGCTGCATGTAGTTATTCTCCTCCTCAGTTAAATCTACCACAAGCAGCTCACTTCATCGTGATGTAGGCTACTCCCCAAGCTTTATGCACGTAATACGGTGCATAACAAGTGGAATTAATCGCCTGAGGCTCAAACTTGACCTGATGTTCAACTGCTAAAAAGTCTCCCAGGTTGGATAGAGCCTCCCTCATGAGGGGGTGAGGCCACTAAAAGGAATATATTACTGCGTTTACTGCGGGACGAGGAGCCGCTGCAGCCTGCCCATGAAATCAGTCTCATCTGGCTTTGAGCCAGCAGCACGAGATCCCTCTGTCACTTCAATTAGCACACTGTAAGCTCTGCGGGCAGGGAGTCCCGAACAAACAAGCGACAAGAGCAAACATCACATGTAGTGAATGCTTTCTTGCGTGTTAGTCAACGCATGATTGCCGTCTCAAAAATCAATCAATACACCTTAAATGACAACTTTGACTATTTCATTTGTTTTTATCTGCTCTGTACATGACACACGCTTTAGTGATGATCAGATCTTCAAGTGCTTAAAATGTCTATAAATATCAACCGGATTATGTGAACTGTTGATATTTTATTTCATCTGGCAGCTCTACACCTGTGTGTTACGTTAACGTTACTCAACCTATGAGCGAGAGAGGAAGAAGAGTGAGCAATAAAGCGAGTGTGTCCCTCATTGACTCCAGAAGTTCTGTTTACCGCCATATGAAGCAGCAGGATCAGAAACTGAACTAAATCATGTTCTGTCTGTCAAATCTCTTCGGAGTGTGTGTGTGTGTGTGTGTGCGCATGTTGCGAGCGTCAGTTATATGCGGGTGTATACGTTAAACTGTGGCAGGCAAACTCAAGTTACTATCAATTTAATACTATACAAATAATAAGAAACTACATTAATGGGAAAACAAGTAAAATATTGTCTTAACATTTGCAAAGGAATGATCGGCGATTTGGGCCACATGTGGCCATTCTTTTAGCAGCGTGAATGCAAATGCATCCTGGGCCACATGAAGGGAACACCTACTCTACTGACGTCCTCTGACACAATCTGATCAGTCGCGCCAATTTCATAGGCCCTGTTCAGACCTGGTATTAACATCCGTCTCGGATGATCCGATCACAAGTGGACAGCTCTCAGTTCGTCAGTTCACACCTGCCTTTAAAATGCGTGTCCACATGCGTCTCGATTGACCACTTGTGATCGGATGTCACTTCCCGCTTCATATGCAAATAAACAGGTATGCATTGTCGAGCGAGTCGATCCCCACAGATGTTAAAATGTCCAATTTTACAGCAGAAATAAACGTGTTTACAGCCTAATTTCCTAATTCCTAATTTATATATAATTCACCTGTTTAAATTTCATTAAAGCTTAAAGTTCTGCATAATTGAGGGCGTGCTGCTTTGAGTGACAGACGGGTGAACCTATGCTTGCCACAAGCTGGCATGCACCTAAATCTCGGTTCGAGACGCGCCCCTCCTCTTTGCCCATTTTTGGAGTAGCCAGGAGTTTGGCGGGAGTCGGGTACCGCCATGATGGCGATGACGGAACGGCCCACTCTGAGCTTCAAAACCGCTCTTCAGAAAACTATGGGTGACGTCAAGGAGGTCTATGGTGTGAGAGAGAGCGAGCGAGTGAGAGAGAGGGAGCGAGAGTGGGGCACGGAGGGGTTATTTGCATATAAAGCCGAGAAGTGAGATCCGATCACAAGTGGTCAATCGAGACGCATGTGGAGACGCGTGTTAAAGTCAGGTGTGAACTGACGAAACTGAGAGCCGTCCACCTGTGATCGGATCACTGAAGACGCATGTTAGCAAGTACAGTTTAGCTGTTCGCCACTGTCTGACCACTTAAACTTCGCCTCTGGAAATACTGTGTTGTAATTATGTATTTTGTCATCGCAGTCACCTCTGGGCACTTTGAATGTCAGGCATCGGCCAAATAATTGAGCTATTTTTCACAGTGCTGCTGGAATGTGATCAGCAAACAATCCAGACCCAGTGTGTGTTTGCACAAACAAAACCCAAAGCCACCAAGAGGGGAGCGCGGCAAAAAGTAACTGTGGCACAGATTTGAATAGGAAAAAGCAACAGGGGAGGGAAATCAGCAACATTCAGGCCTCGTGTTGACGAACAGTAAACTGACCTCATAAAATGAGCTTTTGAGGATCAGATCTCAAAGACTGTAACGACACAGACAAGTGGAACCATATGGGACGGGACCAGATAGATAGGACCTAAATGGGTCATATGGAGATTGAGAGTGTTTAACTGGAACTGAGACGAGTCTGAAATGGAGCGATAACGCTTTCTACCTTCCTCTGAGCAGGTGACTTCTCATGTGGTTCTGTGCATCGGCTGATTTATTTTCTGCTGAAAAGTTCACCGTCGCAGACAATACGTGAAACTGTTCCAAATATAACCAGAGATGGTCGACTGATGTCATTAATGCCACCTAATAACAATCAGGTGCCGTGATAGTCTGATGGTTTACAGAGCATAACTACTGGCATCCACAGTTTGATTCTGACTGCGGGTCTTTGTGCACGTCATACCCCAATCTCTCTCCCCATGTTTCCTGTCTCTCTACCCTCTCTACCCTACTAAAAAAAAAAAAAAAAATCATAAAATCAGATATTGGTATGAACCAGTCGTGCTCACTGAGTTGCAACACTGTCCACCATGTTAAAATAGACCTATTTAAGGGGAACTCCGCCAATTTTACACATCAAAGTTTGTTTACAGGTCTCGGGGAATACTACTGCATGTGTGACAAAAGTTGTTTAAAGCCTGATAAATTGCCTCAAGTGGCTACAAAGGACGACATGTCTGGTTCTGCTGCATTGATTTCGATCCTTTTTTTCCATTTTAAGTCCGACTATTGGAATGCAATGCTAAATCGATGGTGGATCGCTCCATCTGCGTACGGTGTAACAAAATATCTGATGGTTGACAAATTCTGTCTCACGGCATTCATCAGCCCAACCCCAGTCTCTGCATTTGCAATGATCTAAGCGATCAATACGCAGACATACACCACACTGAGAGTATTATGATGCTTTCAGTGTAAACAACTGTGCACTATCATACATTTTATATAGAGCGTCATCAATCACTATCTTTCTAACACCCACTGTCTCTCTCTCACATTTCATTTCCTCTTTCTGTCGGGTGAATCTCGCTCCTGTTTTTCTCTGGCATCAACTGGAAATGCCACAAACACTGTGAAAAGTGAATTCAGCCGCCTGACGGTTTAGACTGGGGAGAAATATTATTAATAGAAATAATATCAGAGAAATTGTTGCCTTTCGTCATTTGTCTAAAACGATAAGACTCAAATGTAATATTTCACTTAAACTGCACATTACTCAATCGTGCGCTGGATGTACATGATTCAGGGATGTCTGCTGGAGCCGGCAGACGTCAAACCCACTGAAGTCTGGAGAGATATGCACATAAAATTCAAGCGGCTACCAGCTAAGTTTGGATTTGTGTCTGCAAAATAACAGATTTACACAGTTTACTCCAAGGGCAGAGGATGACTTGCGGAGGATTTAGCCTGGAGAATATTTTAGGTGCTGCAATACAAACAGATATTGACTGCTGTGGAGATTGTCCTGCAATATTAAAACATAACTGGACTGTTTCACAACCACCGCCAGGAATCTGCCGTGCCCTCTGGCCTCTCTTTATAGCTTTAGACTTCTTCATCCACTTTAGGAGTCAGCCCTAAGTGAGCTTGGTCTCATTTGGAATAAAGTATGATCCACTGTGGTACATCCGTGCTACATCTTATCATTCCAGCAGAGATTTGCGAGTGTGTGCGTCCATGACGTACAAGCGTGTGCTTATTGTCGACGGGGAAAATGAAACGGTAAGAGGATTTTGAATGGAAAGAGTATCAAAATCAAACACTCATTTTGAAATATCATAGATCGAGTCATAGGTCCATCCCTGATTAAAATGGCATTGATAACACGTACTGTATGGCGAAGATGTATGCTTACACAATTCAGCCAACACCGGCCTGTGCCACAGGGGCAGAAAAGCTGCTTTTCAATTTAAAGCAGATTAGTCAATAAAAACATTGAGTCCATTTTGTCTTCCTGGGACACAATGATGATGATGATGATGATGATGATGATGATGATGATGATGATGATGATGTCCCTTAGGCAAATTAACTGCGCTGTCCACCAGAGTTAAGCACCTCTGTACTCTTGCCTTCCACAATACTGTCATGAACTGTATTCAAATGTTTGATGTACCGCATGCAAAACTTTACACAAGCATTCATTGTGAAGAATGGGGCTGTTCAGTGTCACAGTATTGTTGCGGCCACCATCATATCTTATGAGCTCAGGTAGTTCAACGTGCAAACCTTGCTAGTTAAAAGTAACCAGTGACTGCAGCTGTGGAAATACTTTGAGCATCGCTGGCTACTTTTAGGGACATTTGTTGTAGTATTTTTAAGAAGTAAACCTTAAAAAATGCATGTGTGTGTAACAGTGTAAAGGCAGAATACCAATATGTATCTCTCTCTCTATAGATAGAGAGATAGATAATATGTATTATATAATATATATTCTTAAAATGTCCAATGCTAACTGAAAACATAAGCAGAATATTAGCATTACTCCAAAAACATATGAAAAGGGGATTTGGTGAGATCAATTTGAACAAAATAAAAGACCAACATCACCATAGGCCTCGGTGGACTCTCTCCCTAACTCCAGAAATGTTGTGATGTTTAGATATAAAATTTATCGACCAGTCAGACCCGAGCACCCGTGTATTTTGCTTGCATCTGGTGCTTGAGGGAACCCTCTGCTCATGCACACAATATTTCACCGTGATGTAGTGGAGCAAAAGTCTGACAGAATAAATACTCAGGGCAGTATTTGAGTAAATGCATGAACTTATTTATGCAATAAAAGATGTTTTATTTTCAAAATTAGGCCTTTCACCTTTTAGAGTCCTCAGTGATGCAGCTTTAAGGGTGAGACACAGTGCAACTGCAATAACAGGTGATTAGCTGTCAGAAGCCTCACACAGGGACACATTATTCTTCATATTGTATGTACACAGCACTAATGATGATGATGATGATGATGATGGTTGCAGGGACAGTCCTGCCTAACCTTTCACCGTGACTGTCGCCACAAACCTGCCTCCACCAGAGCACCCAATGACATCATCGCCATCATCTTCATCATTACCAGTCCTCCTGAGCTCGAGCTGCCAGACAGCAACATCACCTTTCCTCCCTGTGCTGTGCGGCAGCCTGTCTCTGCTACAGTGTACACACACACACACACACACACACACACACACACACACACACACACACACACACACACACACACACACACACACACACCACTGAGAGGAAGGAGACTCCGGTGAAGCTCCACAGCCTGACACAGCTCGAACCTGAGAGGTGATCCTCTCTCTGTAGCTACACCGAGACATCTCCCAAACATCCCCGCGCTCACTCACTCACTGGCCGCAGTCTCTATCTCATTAGAGCGGATTAGAGCCTGACGATGAATGGACGTCGCTCCGGCGGCTTTAGTCCACTGAACTATCACACTGGGGTCAAAGCAGGCTCATTAAAAGGCTACACACTGTACCCAGTGTTTATCAGAACGGCTGGGGATGCAGGGGGAAGCATTTCGAGGCTCGCGTGTTCGCCAAGAAAATAAGAATCAGACAGACAGAGCAGGAAGAGCAGCGACAGCAAACGAAAAACAGCCAGTGCAGCATTAAGGTGCAAGCCTGTTGATGTAATTACAACTAAGTGCACGATAACAAAATTAATTGACATTAGGATGGAGGTATTCCCTGCCTCTCGGTGCAGCATCGCGCGCAAACATGCAAGAAATCGGCCCCGTACATGGATCCAAAATCATGTAAGAACCGCAGACGGCATCACATACCTTCATTGCACCTCCCGTTAGAGGAATTTGCCGAGTAATGTCAGAACGACGACCATTGCAAGTGCACAGGGAATCAAACCATTACGTCTTCCCTCTCTCCGACTGCCTGTGTGTGTGGAGTAAGCATAACGTAATGGCCAAGAGAGCCGCAGCCAACCACAGCGCGCACACAGGCGCTGGTATCTTTAGCAGCCAATCCGCCTTAACACATCACCGGAGTGGGCGTTCGGTGCCGTGCGTAAAGACTCATGTGTGAGGCTGACCGACGCATCATGCTATGTTCACAGCCTCGGTTTCACATGTGCAACAACATTAAGTGTGGTAAGTAACGTGCTCAGCTGCAACTGCCCTGATTTTACTGAGCTGCAAAGACAAATATATAATATATCTATATCAATATATCTATATCTAAATATAAACATCAACTTGAGGCATTATTTATTTTTGTCATGGCTTTATTTCAATCAGAGGAAGTAAAACCAAGCCGCATCACCACATGCAGTGTTATTCCTGTCGTTTTACACCAAATCTAAATGCGTCTACAATCTAATTTACCGCCGTATTTAGCTCATGTGTGCGTGCCTGTGCATATGCGTGTATGTGTGCACACTAAGGCTGCTGTCTGCAGTCAGGAGATTAAAGTGCTTTTCCTCCATTACATCGCCAGTACCCGCTAGGAGCCCGCAGGGGGCAGCAGATAGCGCTGCATCATCATTATTATCATCAGGCAGACATAGCAGAGCCGCAGGGGGAGCAAGGCTGGCCATGCTGCTCTTACTTTACAATGCAGCCCGGATCATACAGAATTTATAAGTTATGTGGCTGTTGCAGCAGCTGTGCAGGAGACAAAAGTGCATTTAAAGTGTCTGGCTCAGGACTCATAATGATGCAAGTACAACACGAGGCCGCTGCCCAAGTCTCTTTAAATTCTCTGCCATTTCCAGCACATCAAACAGTGACCCTGTTGATTTCATTTCACACAGCCTCAGTAAAAGATCTGTTGAAGCCTTCGGGCCAACGGTGACACACATAAGAGCTTTAGAATTAGCCTGAACAGTCCTCCACAGTGTTCAAACATCAAAAGTTGTATCGGAGCATGGAAGTGTTCAAACCCTTTATCACATGTGGAAAATAAAGCCAAAGAAACAGTTGGCGTAGATGAGACTTTACCTTAAAAGGCCAAGTACACCCAAACTTGAAGCTTAGTAGCGTTGTGTCACGCAATGAGCTCTGAGATTTCTGACCCTTGCCAAATACAGTGAAGGCAAATGATATTGCTCAACAGCAACATTTATTTCCACTGACAGTTTCCCATGTTTCTGAGTTTTCCTCAGAGTGTCATATTGACTCTCAGTGGATAATGGAGAGTAACCTCAGCACTGTTTCCGAGAAGATAAAAAGATGTGTTGCAGCTGAGAGCACCACATGAAATTGTGTAATTGAACAGACCCTTTAACTACAGGACAGCTTTTAGTTCTCATATGGTGGTTTCAGTTCAAAACATACACTGAGTTTAATAAAGGGTGGGAAATTTAGTTTAAACCATAGATCTCGGTTTCTGTCACTGCTAATATCCCCCTGTACCCCAAATACTTTCTGGGTGTTTTTACCACTTATCACATTTATACTCACTGTGCGCTCATTTTTCACTGCAATATAAAGTCCTGTATCTCAATGTAAACAACACAACCATGGCTAGAAGTAGAGAGAGTTCAAACTGTCTTTTGTGCAGTGTAACACATTTATACTGCCATAAATCAATAAAAATAAATACAACAAAATATGTTTTTCTTTGATAATTTATATTAGAGTTAAAAAAAAAATCTAGGCTATATATACAACCTTGTTTCAAGTGCACTCAAGTGTTAGGAATGAAGCAAAAGTAATTTGGGGCCTCCATATGCTCCATATACATACTGAACTATCTACATGTTTATAACTGTAAAAACCATGCGCCTTCAACTATTTACATATCATTCAAAGCAACTATATACAACACTTCTACAGGTATGCAGAGGAACCAGTCCAGCCAGTCTGCATTAGTTCCTGTCTAATGTAAGGCACAGTGCAACACCACACTTTCTGCACTTTATATATATAAATATATACTATATATGTATATATTAGTAGCAGAATTTGTTGCTCCAGGTGACATTGCACTATAAATATTATAATATAGTCTTTTATAATCTATTATATTGTGTCATTAGTATTATAATGCCTTACAGGCTATTATAATATGTATAAATATACCTATCCACATATTTTAGATATGCCACATGATAATATGATGAAACATAGACGTACTCACATGTCCTCAAATGGATATTTCCCTTCCTCAAATCCCCCTCTGACTCTCTTGAAAACCTTTTAGAAGCTATTATAATATTTATAGACATAGGCCACACACATATTATAGCCATACATCATGATAAAATGATGACATAGGTCTGAGATAAGATGATATAAGCCGTAGTACTCACACGTCCTCACACGGATGAAGACGGCTCGGAATCCTCGCCTGACTCGCTTGAGATCCGGTCGTTTTCTTCGTCCTCGCAGCTCAAACTCTCTTCCAGTAACTTACGAACAGCTTTCTTCAGTCTGTATCCTTTTTGTGCCATGATAAATGTGTTTTACAACTCAAACTTTTTATGTTTAGTGTGCGTGGCATCCACGTGTGCTCATCCAGGATCTGCTCTTTTGTAAAACAAAGACAGGTAACTTCCGCGCGTTAGTGTGACGTGACCACGTGTTGGTCGGCTGACATCGATGTCATCATGGCTGCGGGGAGAAGCGTAGATTTATCTTTTTTTTCAATGATTTAGCTAGAGCAACCTGTTCATTTTTTGGACTTAAAAAAAAATCCACTTGACTGGAGCGATTTCGACGAACTTCAATTTGAAACTTAAATTCTGCCACTTTCTCTGACGGAAGCGTATGTCACACATGGTTAGTTCACGGACCACGGGAAAGCTGAAAATCCGACGATTCTCTCAGTCTCTACAGCTTCTGGCTTTGATAAAATGTTTATTTTTGGCGATTCTCTTAAGAAAGGTGGGTTTCCCATCCCGTACACGGGCTTGGGGTTCAGGGGTAAATGTAAAGCTGAGGCAGGATGGCACAATCTTTTTTGAATCCATCCCGCAGTGTGTGAAAGGTGCAGTGGTTGTCTTGCAGTCTTGTCTCCTACTCTGTTGTATTCTGTTTCCCGTCAAGCCCTGACCTACCCATCTGTTGGAATTATGTTTGTGTTACGCCTTTTTTTTTTCCTTTTTCTTCTTCCCTCCCTGTATGTTTGTTTTTTTATTCAGTTTGTTGTTTATCATCTTGTTAAAATACTTAAAATCACATGTTCCTCCTTCATGGGAAAATCCAGAATCTGTGAATATGCAATCATAGTTAATTGCAGAAGTTTAACTGATGGACACCAGATGTTTCCTCTCACACTGTATGTACTGTGCATGCGTTAAACTCAGCTTTAAGGTGAAAACAGCCTTCTAGTGTGAAACTCTGCTCATACATCATTCTGCACAGTCAGGCTCAAACTTGCATGTGAAGCAACGATGAGCACATATTTCTAAGTAGAAGTAATGTAACTAATGTCAAGATGAAACTAAATAGTGAGAACACACACCTTTTTCCTGATAGCATCTGTGTTTTCTCTTCTGATAGCTACCTCCTATGTTCACTGCAGTTGCACAACTCGTGTAAAATCGAATGAATCTGCTCTGCTTGTAGTTAAGCAGTTTATGACGCCACCCCATCATGTAAATTGCATTTAAAGATTACAGATATTTACTGGAAAACCTGTTTTCACAAACTAAGTTTGGATAAGAAACAGATGACCAGTTCAAACTTTATCTGAGGATCAACTCCGGGAGCAAGTCCAACACTCAACTGCTTGGATTGTGAAACATGAGCTATGACCCACTCCCACACGCATTCATATAAACACACACAAACCGCATGTTAATGATCTCAATTATCCACCTCTCATCTGTATCTCTTCTTGTCTGGCAGGCCCCATATGGAGTCAACATCTGGAGCTGCTCTGTGCAACCAACAAGTGCCACTAGATGGAGCATGTATACTTTCCAAAAGAAAGCAGTCTGCTGCTCGGTGTGTGTTTGATTTAAGATTTACATTTCTGGAGAAGTCAAACAATTTGGCATTACTGGCACTTTGCAAAAGATTGTATGATGAATTAAAAACTTTAGCAGTTTAATATTTCTGCAGTCTTTTCATCTGTTCTTTTTTCTGCCTTTATTTTCTCTCTTTCTGTAGTAACTAATGTGTTGAAATGTGCTATATAAATCAAGTTTGCGCAATCACTTGCTTATATAGCACTTACAGAGCACTCATGAAAGCCTAGTTACAAACAAACATGCCTTTATTTACTTAGTGCATTGAAAATCTCCATTACAGGGCTTGGTGTTAAGTTATTGGTGGATTAACATGTAAGCAGCATTCTAATGTCGTTACTGTTGCAGATGGAGAGTGCAGAATTCTTCATTAATGTTTGTAGGTTTAAACTCTGGTAATAAAGCTCTAGTAATACATTATATTTTCACTAATGGGAGAACTTGTTTATCCAGTTTTAGGGATTTTTACACTTTCAGTTTGGCTGAAGAATTACATGCTCTTCTGGAAGTCAGGAAAGTTTCAAACCTCTTCCCTTTTCTTAAATTCTATAGAAAATGTCACCTTTAGAAATTATGTCATTGAACTAAAACAAAGCTGTTTTTCATAGTGCTGGAAATTCTTTTATTTTTGGAGACACAATATTTTCTACCGAACAGCAGTGATACATTATTAACCTATTTTACTTTGAAAATAACTGTCATCACACAGTAAGAAACACAGAATATTTCCCTCTGAGATGTTGTGAAGTACAAACATGAAGTTTCCAAAAGTACCTCAAAGCTGTACTTAAGTGTACTGTAATTACATTACTTGAGTATATGCTTTGTTACCTCCTACTGCTGCACACCAGACACTGTTTATGTTTCACAAACTGCACAGACGTGAAGCCTTAAATGTCTGCAGGATGTTTCAGCATCAGCTACAAACCAGAACCAGGATCCTCTGTCATTTGACACTCCTCTGACAAACGGGGGTGGAAGATGGATGGCCTCAGGCTCCCCCCCTGCAAATATGAAAATGCCTCGCTAGCAGAGCCTCCACAAGTCAGCAGGATGTTGATATTATTCTGCCTGTGACAGGTCCATACAGGGCACTATTCTCATTCTCACACAATATTAAATGCTGACATGGAAACCAGCTGCTGAAAAAGCCCAGAGCCATCAGACTATCTTTAATGTGTCCCTGAAGCATTAGAGTAATTACTAACCTTCATAGCTTTATATAATGCCCAAATTATATGTGATGGAGGTTCAAGTATAAGGAACAAAATTATTTCCTTCAACATAAAATGTAAGATCAACTCACAACGTTCTTTGTTAATTTAAATAATACAAAATATAATAGAATATGTACATGTAACATATGCCTAAAAAGCAAAAATAATCCAGGTACAGCACAGAGTGGACTGTACAGGTAAAACCAGTTAATGCAGGTTTAACTATTTGCATCATCTGAAGATCTATCAGAACATTTCAGGATAAAACCTTTGAATTAATAAATCACAATCCAACTGAGTGAGTGTTTTTTCTTCAGTGGCCTTAAAATAACCACACTGCAGTCAAGACAAATGGTGGATTTTTCTCTATATGCTGCCTACCACTATTTTATTTCTGTCAATGGACAAACAACGTACAAGAAAACAGTCCACAACAGGTGATCCGGATTCAACTCATGTTTATTTTTGAAGCAACAGCAGGCAAACATCACTTTTACTTTAAAAGCGAGCCATGAGGACAAAATCAAATTAATTTACAAACGATTTTATCATGGCAGTGATTCGTATGAAGGTTGACGATTTATCTGTCAAATCCAAAAGCGATAAGAGATAAAAGAGCGAAAACATTTACTTTAGGATGTGAGCGACTCTATGTCAACAACAACCCATATGTGTATTCAGGGACGGAGTCGTCCTTAAAGTGCAAATGAGTAAACATTTCATTTCTATGATCAAAGGTAGTAATTTACCCAGCATGTCCAGCAGAACACGCTCACACACACAGGCGCACACCCTAATTATGCTCTCATAGACACACACACGCAAACACACACACGTACAGCAAGCATCCTGTTCATTAATATCCCTGCAAAACACAAATAACTGTTTCCTGAATAATAGCATGGGAAAAAAAATGAACAGATCACATTAACTTCTGTAGGCAGGATGAAGTGTGGGCTCTTGGGGGGTTGTGTTAACATGCAGCAATTTTTTATCTCAAATTTATTGGGATATTAATGGACACATGAACTCTCTCCCCTCTGTCTGTCTGTGGGGTCTGATGCTGCACTACAGTAAACAGTCAAGCCCGTTTTTAAAAAAAAACACAAATACAAAAAGATGACAACTACATGTGAAATAAAAAGACTAGTCAAAAAGAAACTTGCAGTTTATTCATGCCACCACAAAGATTTATGTGCAGACTGTAGCACCACAGAGGGAAGAGAAGATAAAAGCAGAGCTGTTCGCAATGGTTTCGTTTTCGATTCTGTGTCTGCCTTTAAAAACAGAGTGGGCATCCCTCTCTTTGCTTACGGTCTGATTCATAAATAGAATCACTCATGAAACACCAGTGGACGAAATTATCTGGGGCTAGTCCTATTTACTGGGAAAAAAATAGATCCCCTGCTCACCATCTGTGACTGAAGGGGCCTAACGAGACCCGATAGAGGCAGTAATCAGTTCATCAGCGGCTCACGCCCCAAACACTGTGTGCGTCGTCTGCATGTCTGCATGTGTGTACCAGGCGGAGGCCGTCCTCAGTACAGCTGCAGCATCGGTATCTCAGCATGTACTGAAGCATCAGCGCTTGAAATTTAAATTAAAATGGGACTTAGCATGCTTCATTTACTTACCCTAAGTCACCATTTATTTTGAAAATAGTTCCTGAATAAATGCTGTGGCCCAACAGGAGAAAGTGGAAGCATATTTTATGTGAACATAATCTCACTGCAGCTGAGTTCTGACTAAAAATATTTATATCATAGCAAAAAAAAAAAAACCAAACATCAGCTGAAATTAAACTGATCGATTTCTTAAGCAGGGTATTTAGTTACTTTGATTTATTCCGACTTCTCACAGACACAGGGCAGCAGGGGCGAAGTTGTTAGAGAGGCCGGACCAGATATAAATATTTGCCTAGGGAATGTGAATTAGTAACGCTCCCCTGTCCTCAACAGCTACTGCTGAGGTGCCCTTGTGCAAGGCACTTAACCCCCAGCTGCTCCAGTGGATAGTGACAGATAATTGGAAGCTTCAAAGTGTGAGAGCACAAAACTTTAGGAACATAAAGCAGTGAAAAACAGCAAGCGTGTTCAGCTCAGTTCAACTTCTCCCGGACAAATGATGGTGAAATCAATCCATATAAATATATTCTCACTGTCTGTACAAACACAGAAATGTCTGCGTCACACTGCTGGGTTTCAGCAGTCAGAGCATCCAGAGGGAAACACAACACAGTTAGTTATTTTTAAAGTTGTTTTCAGAAACATGTGGGTCAGTGTAAGCATCTTCTGCCACAATGACACCTGCTAACACATGAGGCTAGACTTAGGGTGAAGTGATACAGAGGGATATAAGGGGCTGCCAGGGAAAGCAGCTCTGGGCGATCACCTCCCACAGAAGTGCAGCGGCACATTTTTTGACACATTTTCTTCTCCAAAGCCCCAGGCTTGAAGCTCCAGCCTGTCCTCCTCCTCCTCTCTATCGTCATCCTCCACATCCCCCTCCTCGTACAGACTGGGCTCTTCCACAGAGGTTTCCATGTTTGGGTTGTAGCTACCAAATGCCTGCGCCTCACCGGACTCATAAATGGTGGGGAGGCTGCTGCGTAAGCCAAAGCGCCGCCGCAGGGCCACGAGCAGTGGCTGCGGCACGGTGAAGATATCGACATTGTTGCCCAGGTCGATCCAGGCCAGGCTGGGGAACTTATTAGGATCCTTCACTGTGTCTGTCAGGTCTTTCAGGACGGCCACTGTCAGACGGTTGCCGTTGACAGCTAGTATGGTGAGCTTCGGCAGGCAGCTGAGGTGAGGCAGCAGCAGCCGTAAGCTCTCGTCCTGCAGCTCGGTGAAGCTCAGGTCCACAGCCGACACCGCGTCACTGCTGCTCTGGAGGTAGAAGGCCACACGGTGGACGTCTCGGCCAGACAGCGGGATGCCAGACAGGTTGACCACATCACCTGACAGTTTCTTCTTCAGGGTGGTCTTCAGACTGTGGCAGAGGAGACAAAACAAAGTTCATTTTGTTTATAAGCTGGATCTCCCAGGGACAAAGTGGCCATCTGTTGCAAGCAGTATCAAAAGTGGGCTAACTCTTCAGTAGTAGACAAACTATCTTTACATAATGATACTGAGGTTATTGATTTATAAGGCTCTATAATGGGGTACTACACTGTCCCACAAGTGCAGGGAAACTGCAAAGTATGCAAAAACAGAAACAACATCCAAAAGTATTTAGTGTAGAGAGTGTAACAATCAATAATGTAAAAAAGAGCATTTGCATTTAAATGTGTCTTGGTCTGAGTCCCTCAAGCAACAAATTCTGTCTCCTGGGCTGAATGTCATCCTCTGAAAGGCGCCAGCTGTTTTCAGTTTCGAGTGTCACTTCTTTCCTGCAAAGCCATCTCCAAGCCAGCGCTAAGTCTCCATGTACAAAACAGCCATCAAAGACAATAAATAAATGAATAAATTATTTGAAATCAGAGTGTAAAAGGCAAAAGCAAACATGTTGCCCAATCTGTCCGGGCCAATTAGAAACAAATGTGTCACCTTGTTTTGAGCTGGGACTGTAGTTACACCCCTGGGATAAGTGTCATTTTGAAAACAGGGATTCAGGAGAGGGAAATGCATCCCCTTCTTTGGATTTTTAAAAATCAGGTCACTTGTGTCTGAAGTACTGTGAGTGACGGGTGAATAAATCACTGGAGCTGATCTGTAAAATTTTATGAAACGAGAGAATTCACAGATTCTGAATCCTGAAAATATCCCTCTAAAATGGACTAATGCACGTCCTTCCCTTAAAGGAGCTATTTGTAGTTTTTTTTATTTTTTATATTGCTACATAGCCAGCGTTAGCATTAACAGCTGTTTACTTACCAGTCTGGAGGAAATATTGCACATTCAGCATCAAACTTTCTCCAGCAGTTGAAAACAACCCTCTTGTTTTGCTACTGTTCCTATCACTTCTCTTTTCTACAGAAGTTAGCATGCTAACCAGCTAGCCCAGTCACTATGTAGCGTCCCGTCTGCCCTGAAGAAGTAGCACTGCTCAGAGGACGTTTATAACCTTTTTGTATTGTAAATGCAACGATTGCTGAAGTTCTTGGCAAGACTGGTCAGTAAACAGCTGTTAATGCTAATGCTAGCTATGTAGCAATGTCAAACCTTACAAATAGCTCATTTAAAAAAAAAAAGTTTCATTATTTGGGAATTATATGCATTTGCTGTCTTGCTGAGAGTTAGATGAGAACTCTCGTGTCTGTGCATTAAATATGAATCTATCACCAGCAGCCAGCTAGCTTAGACAAAGTTGGGCACACAAGCGTCGTAAAATGTCGAATCGTAGTTTTTACACTTTGGTTTGTGTACTTTTTGTACAAGATGGATGCATGTTGATAAATGAGCTTTAGACATGCTGGTGTGCAGATTTTGTTACTGTTGAACAGAACCAGAATATCCGTTTCCCACTGTTAGCCAACAGCAGGCTGCAGCTTCATATTTGATGCACACACATAAGAGTTCTCTTCTAACTCTAAACAAGAAAGCAAATATGCAAAATGTCAAATTTGTCCTTTGAGTTTTGTCAGATAAATGTGATAAATTGGAGATATTGTGTGAGACAGACAGGAAGGTAGAGGGGTAGATGATGGGTGGACAAACACACTGTAGAGGGACAAAACTTGGCGAGAAACAAGAGCAAGAAAGAAAAGTGATCATCTGTTTCAGTCAAATGACTTCAGACAACAGGTGTGAGTTGAATCCATCTTAAGGAAAAGCACTCCTATAACTGTCACGCTTGTCCAGTTGGATCACTGTATCCCTCACTGCCTCTGATAGCACTGGGCATTATGAAACAAAATGTTCTCTCTATACCAGAGCGTAGTCAAATATGCATAAGAGCTATGTAGCAGCTGCATGCATGCATGTCATGCAGTGAAGTGTTAAGACAGAGCCTGCTGCAGTGCATTAGACCCTTTATTTTTACTGGCATTTACACTTGGAAGAAGACAGAGCCAAACAAATGACAATGAGGTGGAAGTGTGGGGGACTTTGTTTAAAAAAGCTGACAAACAGGAGAAAGATGTTCTGTTTAACTGGCCTAAGGTTTATCCTCTCTTTGTCTTAGTCCTGTCTGCCTTTGCTCGTCCCTCTGTTTCCTCAGGCACAGAGAGGATTATCTCTGCATCTCTCTCTGCTCTCTGGTCTGTCTGGGAGCCTCATAAATCGGCTGGCTGTGCTCTTTACATCAGTCACCCTCTCTGCTCGGTTAAGGGAAAGAAAAAGATCTGTAGCACACCGGGGCTGTGATTCGCAAGATTATTGATTCCAGGAGTAGGCTGTAATTCATCTCTCCCAGCTCCTTCATATCCTCACTCTCGCTCACTGCCTCTCACTTTCCCTCTCTTTCTATTTCTCTGCCTCTTTTCTTTTTTCTCGTCATTGTAATCTCACTGTCTCTGAAGCTGAATTGCCTGTATTCACTCTCTTTTTTGAATGGCTCACTTGAAAGGTTATGGAATTAAAATTCTCCTCTGGCCACCAGGCTCCAATAATTCTGCACAAATTAAAATATCAAGATCAGTTTTCATGTGAAAATGCTTCCTGTATTTTTCTTTTAGTTCAGCATCACAGGGCTGAAACAATTTAGGAGTTAATCTGTCAATTATATTTTATTTTAATTGATTAATGATTTTGTCAAATGATTCCTGTACTGTACTGTTTAAGAAATCACAAAATAAATCCAAGGGGTTTTGAGAGGATTAGCAGTATAGAAAGTATAGTTTATTTGTATGACTGAAATCTTTCTTAAGATTAATCTTTCTATAATCTTCAAGCCCTTAAAAAGCATTGGACACTAAATGTAGATAAATGCTGTGTGTAATGGGGAGTGGCTTGTAAAAATGGTTTTGTTTTGAGGAGTAACAAGCCCAAAGGTCTTGGAACCACAGGTTTAGTCCTTACAATGTCAGAAAATAGTGAAATTATTATCATTTCCATCAGCCTCAGGTGACATCTTCAAATTGCTTGTTTTGTCTGACCAACAGTACAAAACCTAAAGATGTTCAACAAGCAGCAAATCCCAAACTTCCTGAAGCTCAAACCAGTAAAAGTTTGACCTCCTTTGTTTGGCAAATTTCCTAAAACAATTAAGCGATTATTGAACTGATGTTTAATAATTAATTTTCTGTAAATCTGACTAATGGATTCATTGTCTGAATCAAATGTTATTAACTTTAGCTGTAGTTTTTTAAAATGCATCTGCAGCTTCTTGGCATGCTCAACCACTCCTGTGACTTCAGAGGGTTTTTACTGTACCACTGTGTAGCTTATGCACTTTACTGTAATGAAACTGATTATGAGCATTGACTTTTGTTCTCTTGGTCTTATTTATAGGAGGGTTTTCCTGCTTCTGCTGGAGCCCTGTCCTCTTACCTTTGTGCTTATGTTTGTGTAGGAAGAGCTATTCCATGAGACAGAGTTAGGCAGGGCAGGTCCTGCCGCTGTGTGGGTGGTACAGGGGGAGGATGGGCTCTAATGTGCTTTTAATGAGACAGAATAAAGAAGGCTTCAGACTTCCTTCCAAATCTGCTGCCTCCCGGCTCCAACCGTGGGCGCACTTCCACCCACGGGCTGCTCGGCTGGCCGCAGGCCCAAGGGCATAGCTAGAGCTTCTGAAGCCACAGCGTAAACTATAGTCCGTCACCATGAAACGGTAACAACACAAACAACAAAATGTCTCATCTCCCTCCCTCTGATGTGGCTGCCATGCTCGTAGGCACTGGTGCATATCCTCTTGGACCAGCTCAGATGCAAACAACTTCAAAGGATAGTCAACCCGCATAAACATGATTCGAAACAAGAGCGTCCCCTGTACCGGGACTCATTTAAAAGCAAACAACTGAGGCAAATCCATCTATTGACATCCTCAGGAGCAACTGATACAACAGCGCAGGAATCTAATAAGAGCTGGCTCTCATGTGTCAAACTATCGGCTGCTTAAATGTGGGTTCAGGCAGGCTGTCTAATTGCTTTTCATAGCCTGTCTTTCCTCAGGGATGTTGTTAACTTTTACGCACTGAACAAGGGTCCTTGCTGTTCTATAGTTATGTAAACCCCAAAGGTAGGAAATAAAACATCTGGGGTTTGTGATGTTGAAATGGAGTGCAGGCAGAGAGATCGCGCCTCCAGGAAAAGGTCAGAACACAACCTGAGGATGTGTCTTTTAATGAAGCATTTTAGAGACTGAATGTTGAGGGCTATGAAGAATCAGTGATTCAATCTGTATTTAAACTGCAGTGGATGGAGTTCACACTAGATACACCAAACCTACAGTGGCTTGATCTTTCTCGCAGACTGTCAGTGTTGATGCAGAGATTTAGCTGCCCAGCCGTAACTGTAACAACTGCACAGGCAACAAATCTGCTCCAGCAACTTCTTTCTACGCAACATAACGTGTTCTAACATGTTCAAATACAGTAAATCATAATAATGTTTACACACTACACAGTTGTTTGCACTGTTATTTACCACATCTAATATTGTATTGCTTTATCCTTCGGTGCTACACATCCCCAGACGAGCTAAAAGCTTCTCCGTTAAAGGTCATGGCAGACCCATTGATTTCTGTATTCACACTAATTTTCTAAACCATGTCTAGTGCCTCTCATCGCCAGGTTAGACTCCACTCAGTCTAGTTGTCTCTCCTGATGTTACAAAAGTTAAGTGCTCATTATCAGCGTTAGTCTGCGGCTTCAATACTTCAACTAATCAATTTCCACATGAATGCAACCAAACACTCCCTCCACACTGAGCTGGAAAAGAGGTGGAGAGCGGGAGAGGTGAATATTTAAAAAAGGGCTGGGCCTGTGAGTACACTCTCCTGGGTTAAAATACATTGACATTTTTTACAAGGAGAGTCCTACAACCTTTCAATATTCTGCCACCAGGGCGAGAGTTAAAAGCAAATGGCAGGAGAAACTTGTACTCTGCCCA